TCTCCGAACTTGCTGCGAACGCTGCATGTTGTATTCTTGCTGCTCTTCATCATAGTGCCGCCTCTGCGCAGCAGCAAGCGCGTGCTCCTGCTTCACCCGCAGCACGTCTTGCCTGTCCGCAGCACGAGCGAATTAGGGTTTAGGGTTTAGGGTTTAGGGTTTAGTGCGGGGATACGGGAATAAGCTGCACTCTAAGGATTTGCAAAGCCCCCGTAAAGCCATTTGACTCAAAATTGGCGTTCTGGAGCTGCAGAGGGGCGCGGAAAGCTCCACGTTCAAGTTTGGGGTGCCCCCAGACTGAGTGCTAGCTGGGGGGGGAGCTGGGGGGCCCCTCTGTCCGGTCTTTGCGAGATTTCGGGAATGCAAATGCAAATTAAAGTTGAATTAAAGTTGAAAATGCATTTATTGCAAACCTTTTGGCTTCTGCTTGGCGCCTGCGAGCCTCATCTCTGGCCTTCTTGTCGCGCTCGCGCTGCGCGGCGTTTGCCTTTTTTATTTCGAGGATCTGCCGCGCTTTCTCGGCTTGTTGCTGCCGCAGCGCAAAAGAACCATTAAAGGAACCAAACTGAGCGCTGGATGGCGCAAGAACAGCAGCAGCAGCAGCAAGCAGCAGCAGCAGCAGCAAGCAGCAGCAGCAGCAGCAAACGGCAGCCACAGGGCGCTGCTGCAGGCGCACCTTCTGCCGCATTTCTTGCCGCTTTCTTTCCCGCTGACGGGACTCGTCAAGCGCCCGAGTTTTCTGCATAAGCTGCTCCACTTTTTTGGGGGCTTTTGCGTCTTCGAGCTGCGCGAACACGGGGCTTTCAGAAGCAGCAATTCAAAGCCAAGGGGGGCGTGGGAAGTTGAACTGGAGTGCGCGCGGCTGCTGCGCCGCGCAGTTTGCTGCTGCTGCGGGTCCGCAGCACTTGCTGCTGCAAAGCGCTGCGTTTTAGCCGGGGAAAGCTGGCGCTGGCCGCGCAGAAGTACCCGCAGCAGCGCGATCCGGTTGGCCAGCAGCTGGGCGTCCAGCTCCGCCTGCTTGCGCTGGTCCTTCGCCTCGGCCAGCGAAATCTTTTCGGAATGCGGCGGCGCCGCCATGGTGGCTGAGGCTGGCAGTTGGGCTGCAGCTGGCGAAGCTCCTCGGGCTGCGCAGCAAGACCTGCTGCCCCATGTGCGGGCTGTGCATGCGGCTGCGGAAAGCGGGGGAAAACGGCCAGCCAGAGCCCCCCAGAGCTAAGCAGCTTTTAATTCGAAAGTTTAGATGCACTCAGGTGACAAAATAATGCCACTTTGGCGAAAAAGTGCTTCTCGGGGGGCCAGTGGACTCTGCCGCTGCGCCGGTCTACTGAGCTTGCTGCAGTGAGTGCAGGCCGGGAACTTGGAATACTTAATTGCAATTTTGGGAAGCAAAAGAGTGCTGGAACTTCAACTCTGGTTCTCTGCAAAGGAGCAGCAAGAACTACTTGTGCCTAGAAGCATCTTGCTGCTGGAACGAAGTCAGATCTGCACTTCTAGTGGTGAGTTTCGCTGGGAACTTTTCGCAAAAAAGGCTTAAGTGCGACAGCGGGCCACGGAGAAACCAAGTGCTGCCTTCTGTGGCTTTTCGCTGGCCAAGTTCTGGAAAAAGATGAACTGCAGGAGGCAAGAGCTACTCAAGGAAGCTTTCGCCGGAGGCATTGGGCTTTGTGTGAGGCGGAGCTCCCACAGAGAGGCTTTGTTTAAGGAAAAGGAGCTTTTTGAATTAACTAGTGCAGGAGTTTGTGAGGAAGTCTTAAAAAAGAGCAGCCAACTGCTGCTGCTGCCCAGCTCTCAGGCCGCAGCTCCTCGCCGGCCGCGCGGCTAGCCACACGGAACAATAGTCCTCTGAAATTCCCTGCTGCTGCTGCTGCTGCTGCTGCTGCTGCTGCCTTTCTGGAGGCCTTGAGAGCTCGTAAGGTCACTCTAGGAAACACTACTGGCTGCAGCCCCGAACTGCATGGGTGCGCTGCGCCTGCACGCCCAACGCGCTGCTGGGGGGGCCTCCCTAAACAAGCTTTCTGCACCCAATTCTGCTGCAAATGCATTAAAGTTTTTATTTAAACCTCCAAAATTCGGTAAAGGGAGAGTGCGGCGCTGCACTGCTGCTTGCAGCAGCAGCGAACGCTGCCCACCCGCTGTTGCCCCACAGGTGACCTGGCCCACTGCGTCACAGACTGGCTCTGTTCTCGCGGAAAATTACTCCGAAATGTGTCAGTAGTCCTTTTAATGAATAAATGAATTCAAATTTCGCAACCTTCGAGGGATGTTCAGCAGAGTGTGCGGCGGGCGGCAGCTGCTGCAAGACACGTGGGCGGCTGCAGCAGCAGCAGCCTCGCTGCGATCCTCCCTCTGGCTGCCCCTCTCAAGCGCATATTTGCATTCTTTTAGGCATAAAAGCAAAAGAAATAAAGTGGAGAATTCTTTCAAGTCTGCTGCGCTGCCTTGACGGGCACGTCTCGTGCGCAGTGGGATGTGCTGCAGCGCCTGCTGCTCTCCACACCTGCTGCTCGAGTTGGAATGCGGGTTTATTCCCTCTCTGGGGCCCCGCACGCAATTAAATTCAAGCAGCTTTTAATTCTGCAATATTTTTGGAAGAGAAGAAGCAGCTCTATTGCCAGCTATTCCCCCGTAACGCCCCCGCTGGCTCGCTGAGACCCGGAAGAGTGCCAACACTTTATTCAAAATTGGCGAAAGCTGCGTCTTCCGTGAGCTCTAGTGAATATCTTTTGTTAATAATGGAGTCTAGAAAGCTCTGTTTGGAGCAGTTGGACAGAAGTAGAGCCAAAGATTCAGTTTTGCAAGTTAAATTTGGTTGAGGCTAGCGGCTTTGCGCCAGTCAAAGTGGCCAATTCTACTGGTTTGCGCTCCCTATGGGCCAGCGCAGCTAAAGAAGGGGGGCCTCTCGACTCGGGGCCCCCTGAAAGGGGGCCCCCTTCTCTGGGGGGCCCCCTAAAGCGAGGGCCCCTTCGCGGGGGCCCCCGAAGGTTCTGTCACTGGCCAATCAGAAGGGCCCCTTGGGCGGTCCTGGACTGCGTGATTGGCAGAGCGGGTGGAGGTGCAGCAGCAGCAGCAGCTGCTGCTGCTGGGGAGCCCGCGCTGCAGCGGTTCGAGCTGCTGCTGCAGCGGCTCGAGCTGCTGCTGCTGCTGCTGCTGCTGCTGCTGCTGCTGCTGCTGCTGCGGAGCGCATGCACTCAAGGCTCGTCCAGCCCCTGCAGGGCCTTGTCGAGGGCGCTGATGAGGTCTTGAGGACTTTCAAGTCCCACGGAAAGCCTCACGTAGCCCTCGGAGAGTCCAATGGCTTGCTGCTGCTCTTTGGTGAGCTGCGCATGCGTGAAGACTGCGGGGCAGGTAATCAGGGACTGCACAGAGCCCAAGTTCTCGCAGAGAGAAAACGGGTACCCAATGGTGTTCATCAGCTTCATGCCTGCAGCAGCAGCGCAGCAGCAGCGCAGCAGCAGCAGTGCAGCAGCAGCAGCAGCAGCGCAGCAGCAGCAGCGCAGCAGCAGCTAGCGGCTCGCAAAAGGGTCAATTTGGGCTCGTTTTTTCTGCAAAAAGGGGAATTAAGAGCTGCAGGGTGGCTCATTGCAGCAGAAGTGGCCAGCAGCAGCAAAAAGCCGCGTTTGCTGCAGCAAAAAGCCGCGTTTGCTGCAGCAAAGCGAAGCAACGGACCTGCCTGGACTCCGCCGTTGAGCTCGAAGCCGAGGACTGCGCCGTGGAGGCCCCCGCGGTGGTACTTGCGAGCCAACGCGCGCTGCGGGTGGCTGTCGAGCCCCGGGTAAAGAACTTTTCGGACTTGGGATTTTTTTTCGAGAAAACTGGCGAGCAGCAGCGCAGTGCTGCTTTGCTGCAGCAGCCGCAGCGGCAGCGTAGCAGCAAAACTCAGCTGGTAAGCAGCAGTCTGCGGGTCCATTATGCTGCCGCAGACGTTGCGCGTGTGCGCTATTTGCTGCGCAAGTTGCTGCTGCCGCGCCACAGCGCAGCCCCCAGTTGTTACATTATGGCCATCTATAAACTTAGTGGTGGAGTGCAGCACAACATCAGCCCCCAGGGCCAGCGGCTGCAGCAGCAGCGGCGTGGCGAAGGTGGAGTCCACCACCAGCAGCACTTGCCGCTGCTGCTGCCGCTGCGGGCCCGCAGCAGCAAGCAGCAGCGCTGCTGCTGCTGCTCCCTGCAGCCCCGCTCGCCGGACTTCTTCCCTGGCCAGCAGCAGGTCTATGGCCGCCAAGTCCGTCAGCTGCAGCGTGGGGTTTGCGGGGGTTTCCGCAAACACTAATTTAGTGTTTTGGCGCAGCGCGGCCTCCACTGCAGCAACTTCGCGGAAATCCACAAAGTCAAACTCCACTCCGAAACGACGCAAGTACTCGTTTGCTGCTCGGAAGCTGCCCCCGTACACGCACTGCGGCATCACGCAGTGGTCCCCCGCGCTCAGAAACGTCGTCAGCACCTGCAGCAGCAGCAGCAGCAGCAGCAGCAGCAGCGCAGCAGCAGCAGCAGCAGCAGCAGCGGGAGCGGGGGGCGGTTGGGGGGAAAGCTGGGCAGGGCGCGGCCCGGGGAACTCTAGGCGCCCTTTAAGGCGCTGGAGGCGCGGCGAAAAGCCGCAGGGAGCTAAGAGTGCAACCTGCTGCTGCTGCTGCTGCTGCTGCTGCTGCTGCTGCTGCTGCTGGTTTTCAACTTACCGCGACTGTGGCGGCCATGCCACTGCTGAAGCACACGGCCTGGGCGCCGCCTTCTATGGCCCGCATTCTCTCTTCGAGGGCGCTGACTGTGGGGTTGGCCGAGCGGGAGTAAGAAAAGCCCTTTTGGAGGTATTCCTCCACACTTGGCTGCACGAAGGTGGTGGAGAAGTAAATGGGCTTGCAGATGGCGCCCGTGAGAGGGTCTGGAGCCACTCCGGCGTGCACAAAAGCTGTGGAATTGGCTTCGGGAGCAGCAGAAGACTCCACTTTGGGCTGGGAGGCTTCCATTTTGGCTGCAGCAGCAAAGCCGCGGGGGTCACTTCCGAGTGCAGGCTTTGCTGCGGCGCCAGTGGAAGCTGAAACGAGGCCTCGAACCAGAAAAACTCTCGCCTTTTTGTTTTTGACAAAGTTTTCAACTCAAGTTCCGAGATTTACCCGCCAATAAACCGCCAGGTCCAGCTGCTGCTGCTCGCCACAGCTGCTGCAGCGCCGCTTACTAGCGAGCAGCTGCTGCTGCCGCCCGTCGGCCGCAGCTCTCCCGCCACCCCTCGGCCTCCTTCGTCGGAAATCGCCTTTTTTTAACAAAAGAAAACTCCAAACTCTCTTTAAAACAAATCAAAACACCATTTGGAACGCACTTAGCTCCTCCAACGCTCTTTGCAAATGCCCCCGCAGCCCTGGCTAGACGCGCTGGGGGGTCTTCCCGGGCACTTTGCCGCTCGCAGGAAGCAGCAGCAGACCTTTTCCCGCCACTTTTGCTTCTTTTATTTAACTAAAAGTGCATTTTTAGCCGCAAAACTCCTTTTAGAGCTGCGACACGCCGCAATCCGACGCGCAGCGGTGCCTGAGAGAGCCCCCTACCTGAACTTGCTGCTCCTCTGCTGCCTGCTGCTGCCTGCTGCTGCCTGCTGCTGCCTGCTGCAGCAGCAGCAAAACCTCAAATGCCGTTTAATTTGCTCATAGCTGCATTAGTTGCTGCACTGAGGCTTTCAGAAGAGGCATTTTGGTCTTTGTGCAGTTTTCTGTTTCCCCGGAGTCTTTGGCTGTCCGCGGAGTGCACACGGACAGTCTCAGCGGCTCGCCGCAGAGCCTTTTCTTGAAATGAGACTTTATTTAAATAAAAGAAACCATAAAGGCATTATTTGCTGCTTGCTGCCTCTCTAGAGCTGCAGCTGCGGCCATGCTGCAGCAGCAGTCCGCAGCAGCAACCTGCAGCAGCTGTTGCCAGGGCCACCGTCCGCGCAGCAGCAAACAGCAAGGACTCCTCTGGGGGCCTGAAATGAAAAAAGATGTAATAAAATGAAATGTTAGAACATTAAAAGCATATAAAGCTCAAACAATTCGACATTTCCTCAAATCCTGTCAGTGCTGCTGCTGCTGAGCAGCTGCAGCAGCACAGAAGGCGCAGCACGGTGCTGCCTCTTGCTGCACTGCAGCAGCAGACTCGACTTCTTCAGACCTGGGGGCCCCCTTGGGCCCCAAGCTGCAGCAGCGGGGGCCCCCTGGGGCCCCAAGCAGCAGCAACGGGGGCCCCCTCGCCCCTGCTGCTGCTGCGCGGTCTGCTGCTGGGTGCATGCAGCTGCTGCAGGCGCCCCAGAAAAGGCTCATTTAACGGGGCTTTTTGCTGCAGCGCAGCAGCAGCGCAGCAGCTGCTGCTGCTGCATGCATGCATGCGGGGCTGCAGCAGCAAAATGCCCGTGGGGCTTGCATGCGTTTTTTGAAAATAAAAATGGCATTTGGAAAATAAAATTATTATTTATTCTGTTTATGTTTAACAGTAAACAGCTGGCAGCCAAGTTCAGCAAAGAGCAACAAAGCTGCAGCAAGTTCGCCTAAGACCTGCGCAGTCTTTTCCTAAAGAAAAGCAGCTGCCACAAAGCTGCTGCAGCAGCAGCAGCAAGAAAAGCAACGGACACAAAGCTGCTGCAGCAGCGCAGCACTGCGCAGCAGCTCTCAGTCTAAAAGCGAAGAAGCCAGCAGCAGCTGTGGGGCCCCGGGCAGCAGCAGCAGCTGCCCCGCCGCGCCAGCAGCAGCAGCTCCCGGCAGCTGCTGCTGCTTGCTGCTGCAAGCAGCAGCAAGCAGCAGCTGCTGCTGCAAGCAGCAGCAGCCCCCGCTGCTGCTGCTGCCTGCTGCTGGGGCCCCGCAGCTGCAGCAGCCCCGCCCGCGGGCGCTGGGGTGTATCGACACCGCAGCTCGCCCCACACCGCTCGGGAAACTCTGGGACAAACAGTCGCCATTTAAATTAACTTTTCCATTAAATTAAAACCCGCCTCTGCACCTGCTGCTGCAGTGCCAAGCTGCTGCTGCAGTGCCGAGCTGCTGCTGCAGTGCCAAGCTGCTGCTGCAGTGCCGAGCTGCTGCTGCAGTGCCAAGCTGCTGCTGCAGGGCCAAGCAGCTTTCCCCGCAGACCGCATGCACCTGCGGTGTACAGACACCTCGGCGCCGCCCCTTACAGAAACAAACGAACTTCTACAGAGCCCCACAAGGCCAGTCTCTACAACAAGACGAAGACACAGCGACAAACCCTACTAGTACCCTCCAACGAACCCTCAGGGGCCCCCGGGGGCCCCCCGGGGCCCCCGGGGGCCCCCCGGGGCCCCCGGGGGGCCCCGAGAAGTCCTCGAAAGGCCCCCGAGGGGTTCCAGGGGCCCCCAGGGGCCCCCCAGGGGCCCGCAGGGGCCCCCCAGGGGCCCGCAGGGGCCCCCCAGGGGCCCGCAGGGGCCCCCCAGGGGCCCCCAGGGGCCCCCCAGGGGCCCCCCGGGGGCCCCTGAAAGGATCTGAAAAATCAAATGGGCTGCAGCTCTGCAGCTGTAGGGCACAATCTTCAGTCTAGAAGGAAGAGAGGGCTGAGTTGGTTAGTACAAATAAAGAAAGAAATAAATAAATAAATATATTTTAAAAGCTAATGCAGAATGACTTTACAAATGTATATCTGCTGTTCGTGCCTCTAAGTGGGGCCCCCTGCACCGACGCTGCAGCAGCGCAGCAGCGCAGCAGCTCCAGCAGCAGGAGCTGCTGCTGCTGCGCGGCCCAGGAGGCCTCAGCGCCAAACCCTAAACCCTAAACCCTAAACCCTGAACCTCCGGAGCGGCAACGCAAGGAAAACTCCAAGACAAAAAACGCCAAATATGCTGCTGCTTTCATTCCACGCCGACGCGCACAGCCCTCTGCTGCTGCGTCCGCTGCTGCTGCTGCTGCTGCTGCTGCTGCTGCTGCTGTTTCAAGCCCTCTGCAGCAGAAAGCCTAGCAGGTCACCGGAGGCCTTTGCTGCTCCGGCTTGGGGGCTCTGCCTCTGTCTTTTAAATCCCTTTGGTACGAAATCTACACAAGTGGCTACAATCCAGCACAGCAGCAGCAGCCGCTGCTGCTGCTGCTGCTGCTGCTGCTGCTGCTGCTGCTGCTGCTGCTGCTCAGGCCAAGGTCGTGGCGTGCGGCAGCTGCTCAGCGCTGCGGCAAAAGGCCTCCGAAGGAGCAGCAAGAGGCGGCAGCAGCACAGCTGTGGGGCCCTCTCTTCTTCTTCCCATGTCTGTGAGGCTGTAGCTTTGGCAGCAGCTGTTTGCTGCTGCTGCTGCTGCTGCTGCTGCAATGTCCGGAAGCCCCGGCTGCTCCGCTGGCTCCTGCAGCTCGCGTTCCGGCGGCGGCAGCAGCTGCTGCTGCTGCTGCTGCTGCGGCTGCTGCTGGCCTTGCGGCGCAGCAGCAAGTTCCACGCCGTCCAGCAGCAGCTCGTGCTCCTCTCCAGTTTTCTCCTGCTGCACTTCCTGCGAGTCGCTGCTGTGCAGCAGCAGCAGCTGCTGCTGCAGCAGCGGCAGCTCGCTGCCCCTGCCATCCTCAGCATGTTCTGCTGCACTTGAAGTTGTTGCTGTTGAGATGCAGCGCCACTGGGAAGCTTTTGAGCACAAGTCGCTGTCTTCTGTTTGCTCCCCAGCAGCAGCAGCAGCAGCTGCTGCTGCTGCTGCAGCCGCTGCAGCAGCAGCAGCAGCAGCAGACGGTGGGCACACTACCTTTGGCTCCTCTTCAAGCGCCGACATGAAGCCTCCCGCTGCAGCCGGCTTTGCAGCTGCTGCCTGCAGCAAAAGCGGCCCACAAGGCGTGGCAGCAGACAACAAACCCTGCTGCTGCTGCTGCTGCTGCTGCTGCTCTTGCTGCTGCTCCTGCGGCTGCGGCTGCTGCTGCGGTTGCTGCTGCTGCAGATCCCCCATCCTCTCTTTCTCAGTTCCGTCGGTGGCTGTTGCAGCAACGGGGGCCTCCGCTGCTGCAGCTTCGGGCTCCACATGCTGCTGCTGCTGCTGCTGCTGCAGCTGCTGCTGGTCTGCTGCTACCTGCTGTACAGCTGGGTTCGGAGCGCATGTTGCTGCTGCTGCAGGTTGCAGCGCAGCAGCAACTGCTGTCGGCTGGAGACGGCCTTGGAGTCCCTGCAGATGCCGCTGCAGGAGCTTCTGCTGCTGCTGCTGCTGCTGCTGCTGCTGGTTTTGCTGCAGAGATGCCACAGCAGCCTTTGCTGCTGCAGCACTCATCGCTGCCTTCATTTGGGCAAATAAGTGAGCCCGTCCAGAGAGCATGAGAAGCTGCTGCGGGTTGCAGCTCGCTTGCTGCAGCAGCAGCTTTTGCTGCAGCAACTGCTGTCTGTGGCGCTGCAGCAGTTGCTGCTGCTGCTGCTGCGCTGCTGGCATGCATGCGCCGCTCTCCACAGCTTCTTGCTGCCGCCGCTGCTGCGACTCCAGCTGCAGAATTTGCTGCAGCAAAAACCCCGAAGGGAAGCTCCCCTGCTGAGGCTTCAAATGGTTTGAGTGGGGCCAAGCAGCAGCAGCAGCAGCAGCAGCAGCAGCAGCAGCAGCAGCCTGTGTTGCTGCTGGCTGCTGCTGCTGCGCGGCCGGAGCCGAGTTGGCTGCGCCCGAAACAGTAGCTGCAGCCGCTGCAACAGCAGCAGCAGCAAGTTGCTGCTGCTTCTGCAGGGGCTGCTGCTGCGATAGGGCAAAAAACCGCTGCAGCTCCTTTTGCTGCAGATGCTGCAGCTGCCGCCGCAGCCTCTGTGCTTGCTGGTGCACTGGCAGCTGCCTCAAGGCTGCTGCTGCCTGTCCTGCTGCTGCTGCTGCTGCTGCTGCTGTTGCTGTTGCGGCCTGCGGCAGCGCTGCTGCGGCTTGGGACGCTGCTGCTTGCGTCGCGGGCGGCGCTTCTGCTGCTGCAGAGCCCTTCGCTGCTGCTGCTGCTGCTGCTGCTGCTGCTGGTGCTGCTGCTGCTGCTTCAGCTGCAGCAGCAGCGGCGGGGCGGTCGGCCGGCCCTGGGTGGGCCGCTGGTCCCTGCTGCTGCGGGAGTCGGTCTTGCTGCTGCTGCGGGCGCTGCAGGAGCGGCGAGCGGCACAGCTGCTGCTGCTGCTGCTGCTGCTGCTGCTGCTGGTGGCGCTGCAGCTGCTGCTGCAGCGCGTCGTAAGAGGAGCCCACGAGAGCAGCAGCAGTTCTGGCGAGGGCCCTTCTGCTTCGGGGGGCCCCCCAGGGCCACAAAAAGCCGCATTCGTCGCTGCTGTAGCCATCTGCTGCTGCTGCTGCTGCTGCTGCTGCAGCATCTTCGCTGTAGATGCACATGCTGCCGCCGCAGGCGCCGGGGGCGGTGGCGCAGCAGCAGCCCTCAGCAGCAGCAGCAGCAGCAGCAGCACCTGCTGCCTGCGACGCAGAGTCCACCCCAAAGGGAGCAGCAGCAGCAAAATCTCCAGCAGCAAGACTCACTCTCTCAGAAGCTTCTCGCAGCTGCCGCAGCCGCTGCTTCTTGGCCAGCCAAATCAAGCGGGCTGGGGGCTTTCTGCAGCGGCCCAGGGCCCGGGCCCCTATGAGTGCTGCGCTTCTGCTGCTGCTGCTGCTGCTGCTGCTGCTGCTGCTGCTGAGGTGAGTCTGCGCATCTGGCGAGTCAGCATGTTGCGGCGCTTTGCTGCTGCTGCTGCGTCCCTGCTGCCCCCGTAAGCTGCCCCGTGGCGCTGCTGAAAGGGGTCTCTGTTGGAGCAGCACCAAAGAGCCTCAGCTCCTGCTGCTGCTAAGCTGCCAAGCACTAGCTGCTGCTGCAGCAGCTGCTGCGTCTCGCTGGCAGCAGCACAGCCCTGCCCCGGGCACTCCGTGAGCGCTCGCGTGAGCGCCCGCGTGTGCACCCCGCACCTCCGTCTGCTGCTGCTGCTGCTGCTGCTGCTCTTGCCTTCGGTGTCCCCGTCGCTGTGCCCAGCAGCAGCAGCAGCAGCTGCTGCTGCTGCTGCTGACTGCGGGGAGGTCGCTGCGGAGGAACCCGAAGCTGAGCCCGCCGCCGCAGCGCGGGCTGCGCCGCTCTCCCCGCAAGACGTCTGCTGCTGCTGCTGCTGCTGCTGCTGCTGCTGCTGCTGCTGGTCAGCAGCAACTTCGCGTTTTGCTGCCTGGGAACCTTCACACAGAATCTCGAGCAGCAAATGCTCCGCATAGGCGGTGTAGACGTGGGGGAGGGCCCCCTCACTTTCCTCTTCACAAGACAAGTGCTGCTGCTGCTGCTGCTGCTGCTGCTGCTGCTGCTGCTGCTGGCTGTGCTGGTGGTAGTCGGCGCAGCCGTCGTGCTGCTGCTGCCGCGACAGCCGCGCGCCGGGCAGCAGACTTTGCTGCTGCCGCGCATGCGCCCCGTGGCGGCCACACTGCTGCTGCTGCTGCTGCTGCTGCTGCTGCTGCTGCTGCTCATAGGCCAGCTTTCCCTGCTGCAGCGCAGCTACCTTAAGGTCACTCGGGAATGTGGGGAGGTGCAGCGGCGGCTGCTGCACTCCGCTGTTGCCTTTTGCTGCTTGCTGCGGCAGCAGCGTGCCCCCGACGAGGAGGCCGGGGACGCTGCTGCTGCTGCTTCTGCTGCTGTTGCTGCTGCTGCTGCTGCTGGCAGCGGCCCACTCCACCCCGCTGCTGCTCGCGGGAGCCTTGCCTTCCGCCGCCTCCCGCTGCCGCCGCTTTCTTTCTGCTGCGGCCAGCTGCTGCTGCAGCTGCTGCTGCAGCTGCTGCTGCAGCTGCAGCTCCGCCAGCAGCAAACTTTCTTCTGTCCTGCATCTCTTAGCTGGGGGCCCCCCTTGCAGCCCAGGGGCCTCTCGGCTGTGGGCCCCACAAAGGGCCCCCTGGCGGGCCTCCGTTGCTGCTGCTGCTCCCGCCGAAGCAGCAGCAGCAGCAGCTGCTGCTGTTGCTGCTGCTGCTGCGCGCTGCGGCGGCGCAGCAGGAACCCCCGCGAGGGCCTCTGCGTAGGCAGGGGAAATACTCTTTGCGTCAGCAGCAGCAGCAGCAGCAGCAGCAGCAAATAAGCTTTCTGAGGGCAGCGGGGGGGACCCAATAGCTGGTGGTGGCAGCGGCTGGAAAGCAGCAGCAGCAGCAGCAGCAGCAGCTGCTGCTGCTGCTGTTTGTGGGGTCCCTTTGGCGAAGGAGGGGGCGCCGTCCGTGGCCATTCCCGCAGCCAGCAAATCGAACCTGCTGCTGCTGCTGCTGCTGCTGCTGCTGCTGCTGCTGCCAGCTGTAGTCAGGACGGCGACATCTGGCGAGGCTTCCGAGAGCAGCGGCGTGTCAGTGGGCGAGGGCCGCAGCAGCTGCTGCTGCTGCTGCGGCAGCCTGGCAGCAGCAGCAGCAGCTGCAGGTTCTGCTGCCAGCCAGGCAGGGGAGGCCTGGGCGCTCAGCGTTTGCTGCTGCAGCTGCTGCTGCTGCTGCTGCGAGTCCGTGGCTGCTGCGGCTGCGCGGGCCAGCAGCTTCTCGTCCGCCGGGTCCTCCGCGTCCGTGGCCTCCGCAGCAGCAGCAGCAGCAGCAGCAGCAGCAGCAGCAGCAGGGTCTTGCTGTCTGTGGCGGGGAGCACCGCCCCCGC